GGGGGGGGGGGGGGGGGGGGGGGGGTGATAGGACCACTACAAGAAAACCTGGTATTTATGACGGGACTTCTTTGCCTTTTTGGGCAAATGCTTCACGGTAAAGGTTTTTACGGTGTAATTGGCCGTCGTGAAAAGTATTTGCTACCATCTTGCAACAGTTTTTGTGCTTGTTAAAAATATATTATATAATTGATTTCAAAATCTTTAGATGATGGTAACATTACCTTTTCAAAATCGATTTTAAACATCATTTTTAAAAGAGATAATGACATCGTTGGTCTATGGTAGAACGGTACTATTCGAGGCCAATTTCTGTCATTTATTCTTGATTTGATCTCTCAAATTTGAAAAATAATGTCTTTGAGATTACCTTCTCCAAGATTCAAGGCAACCAATACGTCCTTGAGTGTATTTTGAATTCTTGTAGATGATTGCCTACTTGTTGCAGATGAGTCTCAATCGTCTCAAATCTAACCTCAAAAGTATTACTTTGATCGTCTACTATCGCTTTGATACACTTGACTCAAGACGAAAACGTGAACAATAATAATTGATTTTGTTCGTAACACACGAACGAATATTTGCTCTTATTTCACTCGAACGAACGTGATAAATATTTGAAATCCACCAAATAACAAAAAACCTAAAAGTTTATTAATAATCAATAAAACAAATGTCTAATTTACAACTACTAAACACTTACTTAAAATTCGAAAACAAATCCTAATCATATCAAAAATCTTATTTCTATAGACAAATTCAAATAAACTAAAAAACATAAAAAAACTGCAATGTCATCTTTAAAAATCTATTTCTATAGGCAAATTAAATAATACTTTTTCAATTCAATGCTCATGATTTTGACACGTTAAAGAATGTTAAACTAATTGTACAAAGAGAATGTACAACTAGTTTAATTCATTTTCAAGTCATCTCATGGAAAATAGTTCAGTAGTCAGTGGCATTATTTGAGCTATGGTATTCATTTATATAATCTGGATTTAATGGAAATCTAGTCTTCAGCATTTCACTTGTCCCTAAACCCTTTGCAATGTCATCTTTAAAAGTCTTTTAGCAATTATTTATAAATTGCAAATCTATGTAGCCAAAGCTAAATGTGCATGTATATGTACCCCCAAAGCTATGCACATTTTCGTAGATTCTCTTGTTTTCTTCTTTTTTCAATTATTTATGATTTTCATTTTTAACTGTTATTTATTAAATTCTAATTCAAGCTTCAAGCCAGGTGTGGGGATTTCGGATCCCAAATTATAGAACAATAACAGTAAACAATAAAAATGCAGAATGTAAAATCCACTAAGAACACGCGAAATGTTGACCCAGTTCCGCAATAGCCTAATCTGGGAGCTCAGCTACCAGCCCAATCAACTAAATGCTCCAAGAAAGGCTTCAGAATATTATACAAGGAACCAAAATCAGATCGTGATTTCGGCCACGAACCTTCAACTTCAACACCTCACAAATCAGATTTCTAACCCCACGAGATTCAAACCATATCGCACTAAATCGACTCTGGTGTTTGGAGGAATGCCGCTTCAATTTTCGAGTTTGGTTAGACCAACCTAAAAAACTCCGGGGTTGGTGTTACAATATTTGATTTTCCCTTGAATCCGAAGACTTGAATCAATACAAGTCAATGTATTCCTCTTGTGGCTTGATTTCGAGTTGAGTTTTAGCGCAACCTAAACCGTGGATCAATTCAATTGTTGGATGGGGTTTAAACCCGACCCAATTCGACCAGTATCGATCCGTCCGTACATGTTCTAGGTGGCTGTTACCACCATTCCAGAACTTCGTGTACATGCATAAGCATTTTGTCTTCTTGTTTTTGAACTTGTATGGCCATGAACATATGCTTTAAATATTTTATTGAGAAAATATAAATTATCCTCGAATGGGCCGTACATCAAATATTTTAATTACCTTAATCCAGTTTATGAACTTAATGATACTCAATGTAAATTGATAAATTTTCCAGCTTATAAAGTTTTACTCTCTCTTTCTCTTTCTCTTTCTCTTTCTCTTTGTCAGAATTGAAGCTTACGTATGTACTTTTTAGTCACAAGTAGTAACTCACAAAATTCTTTACAAATCTAACGTGGTGGAACATTTAAGTCAAATAAATAATTTGTACTCAACTTAAAAAAGTTCACTTTTTGTGTGTCCATTTTATTGTTTTTCTTCTTTTCACATTTACCTAACGAGCTCATAATTTACTCAAAAAATTAATAAACAAAACAACATTTGTTGGGAAGTTTTTTAATTTCCTAATTAATTAGACTGTAAATATTGATGCCGCCAACTTCACTAAACAATCAAAAATTAATGCAAAACATGACTTATGCCCCCGGTTTGGAGGCCATTTTTTTGGAAAACCATTGTTTTAAATAGTGATTTTTTGGAGCGTGTGTGGTTAAAAAGTATGGAAAATTTTTGGGTTTACGTGTAGAATATTTTATTGTGTGGGTATGTGATTAAAAATGAGTATGTAAAAAAAGTTTTGAAAGGATGGAATGCTAATTTCCTTTGAATTTGTCCTCTTCAATTTTTCATCAATCATGCTATAACTACTGAAAATTTTTGACAGACAATACATGGCGACAATTGATTGGAAGATGGAGAAAGAGAAAATAGTCCAATCATCTGCTCCCACATCAATGTCGATAAGAGTTCTATCAAAATTTCCCAGTCCATTTTTCATACACTTCCTGTTTTATTTCTACTTCGCTGGTCCCATTAGATCACGATGATCACATGCAGTGTAGGGTTTTAGTGTCCTTTATTTTATGGTTCTATTCATTGTTTTGGTCTTTTCGTGGGGAAGCTTAGCATTTCATTTGTTGGGTCTCTAGTTTCCTTACAGATTCCACCATAAATAGGTTTAAGGCAGGCCCTATAGCACTCTCATTGAGAAAACATGAAGGTCATTACCCTCTTTCCAAGAAATTAGTTGATCAAGTTAATTAACCTTTTTTTTTCTTATTATTTTGATTTTGATGGGATTAATGATTTTTTATTTATTTTGCAGCGAAAAATAGTGATAAAGGTGACCATGCATTGCGAAAAGATGAAATCAAAAGCCATGCAGATTGCTGCTCGTGTAGAAGGAGTGACCTCATTGACTATAGAAAAGGAAAATGATAAAATGGTTGTAATTGGAGAAGGAATTGATGTTGCTTGCTTGGTTTTGTCTCTCAGGAAGAAATTTTGTTTTGTTGAAATTGAAACTGTGGAAGAAGTCAAGCCACCGCCTCCTCCACCGCCTCCTCCACCCAAGTGTCCACCCAAGTGTCCACAGTCCCCTCCACCATGTCCACCACCGTGCCCCCCTCCACCATGTCAACCATGCCCGCCTAAGCCATGTCCACCACTGTGCCGGCTTCCGCCATGTACACGGCCATGTCCGTCCCAAACATGTTATGGATGTCAAGACTATGATTTTAATCCACCTAATTGCTTCATCATGTGAATTATTGGCAGTTTGTAAAGGCGAGTATTTGGATAATTCTTCTCCATTATCCAAGAGCTTCACTGGCAGACAGTCTTTGCAATTAAAATGTCTTTTTATTGGTTGAATAAATGTTTTAAATTGACATTGGATATTATTGCTAATTTACTAGAGATGTCACCCATTCATTGTCTAACGGAATTGTGATTTCTTTATCAATTAGGCACCGCTGCCATCAAGAACGATAATGAATAGCATTATCCGTTAAAACTGGTGTATATTGGATAAATATTGTTAGTATATAGTATTGAAAAGTATCAAAAAGAAAAAGAAAAATTACAAATCTCAGTCATTAAGTTTTTAAGCCTTATTCACTAATGCAATTTATAATTTACTTAACATTGGTTTTAGATTTATGAGAAAATTAATAAATTGGGAACATTTTACAGCCAATGTTATTCAGTTGAACTTATATAGGTACTGTTACGAAAGCGAACATATACAGATCTTTCCAAGATCACAAAACACCAACTAAAGAGATGAAGAAGAAGGTCAAGCTCAGAGAGAAAAACAGAGAGTCTAAAGCCAAAAATCAAAATGTCTCTCAAAAGGGCCACACCAAACACAAAATAAAAGGTCAAAACCGATCACATCCTATTGTCTAACTAATTTTAAGATTGTTTTTAAGATTTGTGAGGTTGAGATGTGACTCACGTTTAAATAACAAACGACAATATAGGTCTAACAAACGATAAATATGTAATTATTACAATCTTAATTGATATTCTAGTTTTATCTTACATTTTTATCTATTTGCATCATTCATGAAGATGTAGTTGGATCATAAATAAAAATTGGATTAATTTATCTCGAGATAAAAATTACCATATACTAAATATCAATCGTCAAAATAAAATAAGAAATGGCTAATGGATTCAAATAAAAGTGGGGTAAAAGCAGTGGATTCAAATTTCTAATATTTCTTTTGTGACTTGATTAAATTCGAAGACTTGTTTATTTTTAGTATTGATTAAACTTAAACTCAAAAATCTTTAAGTATGTGTGTTTCTAATTATGAATAGTTTTAATTATTAATGAGTTTGTAAATTACGTCTTATTTACAATAAATTTAAAGTTAATTAAACGGATTATCTATCACAGTTTTGTTTAATTTATTTGAAAACAACATATATGTAGTTGAATGTATAAGTGTTAGTACAAGCGTGTTAATGCCTTAGATTCGAATGTTATTGTAATATCTGGTGACTCTAATGATAAGAGCATTAGATACAATTATATATATCTAATGCTGGTGAAGTGATAAAATGATAAAATTATATATATTAACAATGTAGTAGTGTTATGACCATGACCGCGATAGCACATGATACAATGTCATTGTATTGATATTAGAAGTCATTTTTTTGTGACATAAAAATCATTGTGTCAATGACTTGTGCATGTGATGACATTATATATGATGATAACGAGATAATTTGATAAGAATAATATAGCATTGTAGTAACAATAACATGGGCGGACCCGGGGGGTCCTGGGGGCACCCCCCTCCCCCAACTTTTGAGGTTTATATATATATATATATATATATATATA